AAGGATATATATATATATATATATATATATATATATATGAAAAAAATCAGAATCTCTAGTTTAATACACATGATTTTCTTTGTTTAGTTAGTGGTATTTTGGTTCTAAGTTCTGACTAACATAAACTTTGAGCATTTAACTTTTTTTCTAAAAATATCAGACAGATGTTGGTTTTCTTTTGATTCATATATATCAGTTTATTTACAGGGAAAAAATTTTACAAAAAATATTCCACAAATTTGTGCTTCCTATTAATTATAATTATAAACATCACAAAAGAATACCAATATAGGCAGCAATCTGCATTTTTAGAAATGTAATTTAATAAGATATATTTCTTTGCTTAAAAAATTTGAATAATTTTAATCTCTTGGATTTTTTACTGAAAAAAAAACTAGGCAAACAATCAAAATAAGCTTTCCATCCAAAATATACATATTGTTTTTAATTTTTAGGAGACATAAAGATAAGTTTTTTTATGAAACCAAGCGCTATTTTCATCAGTATGTTAAAGAAAAGCTCTCCCTCCCTATATAGTTTCGTAATGTGTCGTTTTGTGGAATGATATTCTGCCTACAAAATTATGTTTAGAAAAATAAAACTAGTATGATCAAAAATCAAACTTTCAATCTAAAATCGTATGTTAAGGAGGATAATGTATAAGTTTTTTTTATTCAGAAGTTAAATATATACTTATTATAATGTTAAACGAATATTGTTTCTTAGATTATTTTAAAGGAGAAACACAAAAATCACGTCTTTTACATTCAATCCAGAATTGCTTTGTATTACGTTAGTTCATCACTGAACCGTGTTCCGTGTCAGAATAAGGTCGATCTAATAACAGAAACAAAAATAAAGCATTTGCAATTTAAGCTCATTTCCTACTGATCAATTTCAAAAATTACTCCAAAAGCAAATATTTCCGTCGTGGAGAATAATAAAATAAAAACAGTTTATTTCCATGCGCAGCCTGAGCTACTGCAGCGCATCCTCCCGATCGGAAATCTACCCGACATCGGAACTCAAGGTTGTCGAGGAACTTGTTTTTCTCTATCGAGTTTCGAGTATAGAACAGAGGGCGCAGCTATCGGAATGACGTAGTGGCAGTTCCAGGCACCAGGAAATTATATTCTTCTGAATATTGCGCAGTTTCCGTTTGCGTGTGATACGCTAATGTTTATTGATCGTTGGTATCTGTGAGGGAAATTTCATACTGTAATGAAGTCTAGAAGGGTAAGCAAGCTGCAAATGGAAATAATAGTAGAAACGATGGAAGCTAATAAAAATCTTGCTTCTAACCAAGTTTCTAAATCTTATAGAGTTGCTCAAAAGGCGGCAGATTGGAATCTGCTAGCCCTTAAATTAAATCAAGTAGGACAAGCTGTTAAATCTACTAACAAATGGCAAAAAGTGAGATTTCTTTCTACATTTCAAACTAATAATGCTTTATTAGTACATTATTTTTATCTAAAGTACTCTCTATATTTTGATTTCCTGAACATTCGCTTTGGAATATATAAAATATCCAAAGTCTGTTAGTCACAAAAAATGTAAGAAAATTTTTATAATGTAAGAAAATTTTTTAATATAATATAATGTAAGAAATGTAATGTAAGAAAATTTAATCTAATGTAAGAACTTTTAATATAATGTAAGAAAATTTTTTAAATTATGTCTGAATTACAAATAATTGTTTTAGAATAATTTACTAGCCTAACCCAACCAATCTTGATGTTATTTTTAAAATAGACTGAAATGTCTGCATGAAGAAAATATGTGTTTGTGCACAAATAACTTTACAAATGATGAAAATGACTTAAAACTTTAATTTTTGAGAAAATATGATACAGCAAGCCTTTTTTTAATAGCAAAATTGTTTTATGTTTCTGTTTCACAAGTCTGAGGAATGAAATCTGCTAGTCTTAAGACGAAATCAATTAGTAATAACTATTAAATTTAATCATGTACTTAATGAAACAAATTAGATATTTTTCTATATTTAAAAAAAAATGCATTTAGTTTATTATTTTAGAATTTCATTTCAATCATATTTTGATTTCCAAACATTTAGCAACAACTTTCTTCATATCTTTTATTAACTCAATAAATCATTTCAAATTTCTATTTCATATAAAATGAGGACAGTGCATTAAGCATCAGTGCTCGAAAAAATTCAAATGAAAGATAGTGATAAATAAAATAAAATAAACAAAACAAAGAAGAGAATAAAAAGAAAAAAAACATAAGTCTATTTGCTACTAATACTGAATTGCTGGTATAAAATCATAATTTTTCCAAGTAAATCATGGGATTTCGCAAAAAAAACTTCTAAATTATGACCAAATTTTACTTTCTTATAACAAACTAACTTGTTAGCGCAAAGGGTTCAGATATTCCCCTTTTTAATAAAAAAAAAAAACTGTAATAACGGCAACACAAAATGAACAAATATTTTTCAAAAACGATTTTACTAATGGTGCTTTCCTTAAATCATCCTTTAAGTTTAAAATTTATTTTCTGAATTAAGTATAATGAAAGTAAAGCAGTTCTACAATTGTCAGTTATTTGGTCAAGGTGTCATGTAGTTTAATGCTACGTAATTTCTATAATAACGGCAAGATGGTGGCAAAGCGTTTCGCACCGGCAGCATTTATTTTCAAAACCATCTGGTACCCATGTATATGAAGATGGGTTGGCTTCAATTGTTTATTATGACAGTTTAGTGCTTTTAACTACTTTGCATCGCAGCTATAGGTCGAATAGGTTAGGTTTTAACAGCTATAATTTTGAATAACAGAAAATTGGAAGGTTTTTTTTTAAACTTTTTTCTTAAAAAAAATTGAAGTATAAAATGAATATTTAACTTTATAAATCAATTTCGAAGTTTTGCATTCACAAAAGATAAGGACCTAATGTCTAGAACAGAAAAATGTCTCATAAAAACTTATAAAGATTTAGAAAAGGAAACAAAAACTGGGGAACTTTTGGTTAACAGGGCAAGAACTAAATGCGTTGTTCTGGGTAATTAAAATGGACCAATCTCGAATGCAGTAAATACTGAATTTGGTATTGAAAGAGTGACAGAATTCAAATATCTTGACTCAATTATCACTGAGGGGAAAAAATGAATTAGACACAGAGATAAAATTTAGACTGACAGCTGGAAACAAATGTTACTTTTCAATGCTTACGTTGTTTAAATCTTCTCTGCTTTCAAAAAAATTGAAGGTACAATTATATAAAACAATAATTAGATCCATTGTTACATATGCAGCAGAAACTTGAACTACCACTCAGAAAAAAGAAGAAATATTTATCACTTTTGAGAGAAAGATTCTCAAGAAAATATGTGGACCAATCAAAGATGTAGATTTTGATGAATTAGAAGTAATTAAGAGTTAAATAAACTATATAAAGAAAAAGTTGTAATAAATTTAATAGAAACAGAAAGAATACAATAGCGCTGACAACTGGAGCGAATGAGTGAAAAAAGAGCTAACAAAGAAAACTTATGAAGGAAAACTAGTGGTAAAGAGAAATATCGGACGCCCTAGAAGAAGACGGCATGATGAGGTAGAAAGATGTCTGAAAAAATAAAATTGGAGGATAAAGCCAAGGACCGGAAAAAGTGGAGGCGTGTGGTAAAGGAGGCCAATGTCCTATATGGACTGTAGAGCTGAGGAATAGTAGTAGTAGTACATCAATTTCAGATCCTTCCTTAAAAATTAACTTTTGAGCCATTACCAGTTAATACATGTTTTGAACTACACTTAAAAAGCAGAAGACAAAAATTTAAAAATTAATTAAAGGGAGTAGTGAGATGGTTAAAGGAGATAGGAAGTAGTAGTAGAAAATTGATGGGAAACAGTTAAAGAAGTTAGGAAATACTTAAATAGCATGAATATATTAAAATAATGAAAATAAAACTCCAGTCATGACACAAAAATGGACATATAATTGTCGCGGTTGTACAAACAAGATCCCCACTCAGTATCGATCTTTGTGCTTCGGCGTTGAAAGTAGTTCTTATTAATAGAAACGGAGCTATAGTTTGTCTAAATTGACTGAATTATCACAAGAAACTGGTGCAAAAATATACACTTGATGATATAATAATTCATTTGCTTCAAAAAATATGAAGATGGTAATAAAATCCAATGTTTTTCGAGTGCTCAAAAATAGAAGCCCATTCTTAAGACTCGCCAGATATGAATGAGAAAAACAAACATGTTTCAAAACACTTTTGTTTTCTTTATTCATGTCTGTCGATCTCCTATTTTTGAGCACTCGATACATGACTCTTTTATTAGCAGCAAATGAAGTTATGGGTCATCAATATAGTATTTATTTGTGAGCCGCGATGGCTTAGGGGATTAAGCGCTCGCCTTCCAATGAGGTGAACCGGGTTCTAATCCCAGCGATGGCTAGTCGATACGAATTCCGCATCCGGCTTACACCGACCACAGTGCTGACGTGAAATATCCTCAGTGGTAGACGGATCGTGAGTTAAAGTCCCTTTGATCATGGGTTAGAGTCAGTAGCCGTCAGGATAACCTTGGAAGGTTCTCGAGATCTTCCCTCTCCATATAACGTAAATGCCGGTTAGTTCCATCAAAAAATCCTCCACTAAGGCAAATTTCGCCCAAGACTTGATCCAGGAGTTCCCCTGTCTTCTGGATAGTGTTCAAAACTACAAGGCTAAGAAGTCAACCATTATTAGTCGTAAATCCGAAATTAGGTCGACTGTTCAACGACGGTTATAATATAAGATATATTATGTGCAATTTTGTGCTATTTTGTTCACGTTGTTCTACTTTTTTCACTTTGTTTTGATTTATTTATGCGCAGCAAAATATAATCTATCTTCCTTTTGATAGTTATATAGTAGTTAAAGGTAAATTAAGATAGATGTAAGTAAAGAAAATCTTAATTGGCACAATCAAAGAAGTCCTTTGATTAAATGGAAACTCTTCGGTATTCTTCTTCAAAAAAAACTTTAAAACAAATGAATACTTCAAACCGCTTTCAGACAGCTTAGCGCCAATTTGTCTCAAGTGTCTGAAATAAAGAGAAGTTTTCAAAGTTTTTATTACTTCAAAATAAAAATAAAAACATATAAATAAAAAAAAGTTCTTGTTTTTTTCTCAGATTAAATTTGGATGAACTCTTCTTTCTTTTAACCGTTTCCTTGTAAAAAAATTATGGGATTTTGTAAGGACAAGAAGATTGCCGATCAAAATACGAGCATGACCTCCAAAGGGTTAAATTTCAAAGCTTTAAGAAATCGTATTAAAGCCTATATCAAACACTCGCTTAATATTTTGGATCCCAAGAAAATGGAGAAAAAATAAAACATAGTATAATAGCAAGAATCCATATCAAATAAAACCTAACCTTTTAAAATGTGAATATAACCTTAAAACATTCCAAAACAATACGAAATATTTTTCCCTAAAAAATACCTTATTCCATCATAAAGAATAGTAATATGGATAAGATTTTTAAAAAAGCATGAATTATAGCTTAAAATCTCATGGCTAAAAAATTATTGGAAAAATATAAAATATCTCAAAAAAACTTTAATGCGTTTTATTTTAATAAAAGTTTTATACTATGCATAGTAAGATTAATAAACTCGAAATATCTAAACCAGTTAAAAAATATTAATTTTAAAATACATGATAGCTAACGAGGAATATTTTCTCTAATTCTGACAAAAGCTTTGCAATACGTCAAAAAAACTTATTTGACTCAAAATGTCCTAATGTTTCACATTGGAAATCTTCCTTTGAATAAATTTTAATGATGTAAGTTATTAAAAATATCTTTATATTAAATGCTTCACTATTATTCTTGTGATTTCATTATTTCGGCATAGAACAAAATTTGTAAGACATTTGAATTAAAGAGGAACGTATATTGTGCAAGCTGTTTTTTTTACATTTTTGCATGGTGATAATGACAGTATTTCGTAGTATTAAAAATCTAATTTATTTCATCATGGTATACTCGTTAAAATATTACTATTTTTTACAATTCACACATTTTTTACAATTCACACGAAATTGTATTACTATTTTTTACTCTTGGATTAGATTTTTTGATTCTGGATAGTTCTTTATATCTTTAATCTTTATTATTCTCATTGTGTTCTTTTCTTGTGTTATCTAATATTCTAGTGGGGTCGTGATTGTCTAAATATTTTAACCCATTGAAAAAAATCAAGATTTGAAATATGTTTAAAGTCATTTTTATTTTAAATTTGTAATGTTCGCAACTTAAAAAAAGCTTTTTTAAACAACCTTTGATCAATTGATTTAATTTTTACATTCTAGTTAGCAAATGATAATTTAGATTATGAATTCAGGCATAAAAATGTACATATTTGTGTAAATATATCCCTTATTTTCAAAAATTTTAAATTTTGAACCCAGAGCTATGGGGGTGCCCATAATTAAAATCTAGAATACGAGTACGTAATCAAACGATCGATCGGTTTCGTCAAAATATCGATTGAAAATTTAGCCGTATTTATATTACGTTTGCCATGTGTTGAATTCGCTATATTTCACTGAATGATTACCCAAGTTCACAATTCTCTCCTTCCATTTGTAAAATTAGCTTACCCATACATAATTTTCTACAAAAAATAAAAGGGCATGAAATTATTAGATCTTAATGACCAATGTAATGTGAAGTTTGGAAATATTAAGTTTAGGCAAAATCTTTCGAATAATTTATAGAGTGAAAACAAAATCTCATTTTTGAATAAATACATCTCAGGAACTGATTTTGTTAAAATGTTTAATTTAGTCAACTAAAACTATTAACTTCGGAAAAAAAATATTTTTAGATATTAAAGTTTCTGGCAATTTTGACTGTAAATTAATACTTGCAACTCGAGAGGTGAACTGATTATGCCTAACCATGTGACTTCAATCTGATTTAATTGGCTACCTATAAGCGACGTCATGCATGTGTGTCGAAACTGATTAGCTTATGAATGGACAAATACCATGATTTATCTGCGATGACGTCACTTGCAGGTATCTAACTAATGACAAAATGAAACGCTTTCATTCAAACGCAAAAAAATCATTCTGTATAAAATTATGTAAATGAGTTTCATAAATGAATGTAAAAATAGGAAATCTTTAAATTCAAATAACTAGTTTTACAGGAATGGGGAAATACACAAAAAGCAAAAAGGGTACTTAAAAACAAAGGATTTTTATCGGTTTTCAGACTAAACAATGAAGATCCAGATTTCAACTATCCCTTATATTGAAAATAATAAATGTAAAATCCGTCCAAAAAAAATTTATGCTTTTTAATGCAAAATATGGTTTTGTTTGAATCGTTATCATATGTTAAGTGAGCTCTTCACGCCATGAAATCTTAGTGCGTAAAAATCGAACCATTTGGTGAAAGTTAAGGAGTATTGAATTTTTTGTTTCTGCTTCTTCAAAATATAACATTCATTTCAGTAAAAATTCATAAATTTATGATATGGAATTTTAAAAGTTCTTTTAATTTCCACAGTGCTGGGCTGACTTTAAATGTGAAGTGAAGAAGAAATTTGTTCATAATAGTAAACAAGTGCCTGAAGCGGATGGTAGCATACAATTGAGACAGATTTCTGCACTAGATAAAAGAGTGCTTGCCCTCATTGGAATAAATATCAAGAATAACCAAAGCACCCCTGTGGTAATTAACGTTTCTTAATGACTTGTTAAAAATATGCGAAAACCGAGTGTTATCTCTTTGAAGCAGAATTTTTTTAAAGTATTTTTATTATTCTTTTAATTATGTTGCATTAATTCAGATCAAAATAAGTGAAAATTTTTATGCTTAGCACTCTAATAATTTATGTTTATGAAATACAGCAGCTAAAATCTTCCAAATATGAATCATTTCTAAACATTAATTCTTTTTTTCAAAATTGCACTTATTTACAGTTATTCAGATCTAAGTGAAACAGTTATTCATCATTGAAATTTCTTTAATTTACATAATCAACTATTGATAGGTTTTTGAATATGAATGAAAAAGGATCAAACTACTCTTTTCTGAGTTTTATATTTTAGTACAAATATGATTCCGATAATCTGACAGATATTTTTATTATTTATTAGACTGTTTTTTAATAAATCAAAAATACAAAAATATATTATAATCAAAATACTAAAATATCTTATATTCAAAAATACCAAAATATATTATAATCAAAATATTAAAATATATTACATTCAAAAATACCAAAATATATATACCAGAACCTCGGGCCGGGCAAGGTTGACCTCAGCCTTTCATCCCTTCAGTGGGTCGATAAATGAGTATCAAACATGCTTGAAAACTAAACACTAGGGGTTCCGCGTTCGGCTGACCACCTGACCGAAACATCTGCTCCTGCACCCCAGAGCCCAAGGTCAAGAAAACTGAGATGGGCTCTATGAGCTGTCGCGCCACTGAATTTAGTTTAGTTTATATACCAAAAAAAATATATATATAGATAAAGGAAATCGGTGTCTATCTGAGTCAGAGCGATAAATAAATGTCGTATGCTAATTGCAAAATGCAGCTCTTTGCAAATGTTGCCCACTCTTTGTGCCACTTTGAGTTTCATACTCCTGTCCCCAATTTTTAATAACATAAGTTGTGATATAACTTTTACACCCAAGTGCGTTGCCCTTGGAGCCTTCTGTTCATTAGCTTATCATTACTTCAGCAAAATTGGCGGATAAGATTATCCTGAGGAGTCAGTGTTTTTATTGTTTTATTGGAAATTAAAATCTTTTGTTTGCAATATTGTTTTACCTTTTAATTTATCTTTGCTGAAACTAAAATGTTGAGAAAATTTANATACATACATATATATATATATATAAACATGATTAGTTTTGTTACTTTTGAACCATTGGAAAAATTCACTTGAAATCAGTTAAATTTAAAAATATTGAAATAAGCATTGCTGTTTAAATAAAAAGTACATAGTGGGTTACAAGCAATACATATGAACATATATTGTTCTGAATATATACTGCACAGTTAAAATTTTCATTCTAAAATTACTGTGAAATGTCTGGCAAGAGTCTGTCAATCCAATTAACGGTTTAAAGTTTACAGTAAAGAACATTTTTTACTTTTACATTTTTGAAACCGTTTACAACTAGTATGGCTAAAAAAACATGAATACAAAACTTCACGGTTTTTGAACCATTTACAAGCAGCATGGTTTCAAAAAAACGAAGAAAAGAAATTTAACTAAATATGTAGTTAAATTGTTTTTTCTGGTTGTTTCACCTATCGTATCATCTAATAGTCCAAGGTCATGAATTGAGGTATGCAAGACACTAAAAACTCTTCAAGTGTTGAAGGAAATGGAGGAAATGTAGTGGAGTTAAAGCTGGGACTCGAACTTCTGTCCGGTGAGGAGATTGACGAATTAGCCCTCTCGGCTAAATTTTCCTAACTGGAAGAAACTGCATGGCTTTATTAGATGTGAGATAAAATTCTGGTTGTTTATCTGTATTAGGTGAAAGCAGCTAATAAATGGTTTTTCTCACAGTTAAATGTTTGAATACTATCTTATGGCTATTTGACTGTTTTATTATTATTTTTTAATGTTGGTCTCTTCTTTTTTAATTGAATTACCTGCCCACCGATTTTTCGTAAGAAGATACCAATACTTTAAAATTGAAAATCCCTTTATTCCTAATCTGTGTAATGATGTTAATCTAAAAATGAAATCATGTAAATTAAAAATATAATAACTTCGAATAGAATACTGCGATATTTTGCCAGTTTATTGTCTAAAGTATTTTCCTTTTAAGATTACTGCTGCAACTGGGTCTTCGGTGGTCAATAATTTTCCAGATTCATTAGGAACCAACACATCATTCCAAATAGTTGATATGATAGCAGTTGAACCTCTGAGTGAAACACTATCTATTAAAACCGAAGACACAACGGAATACCTCAACGATGAAGGATTAAAAACAAATGTAAGTCTTATGATGCATCAGTATAATTAAAGGGCACATCTCAAAAGGTGGGAACAATTACGTTAATAGCAGGCAATTCCGAATTGTATTGATATTAATGCTATGTACTCTGAATATTTACTACTTTAGCAACGTACTTCTTACTTGATTTAGATTAACAATATAATGGGCTTTTTTCGTCAATTTTTTGGACGTCATATTGTCGTAAACAATAGATTTATGAGGGAAACTATCAGCGTTTTATACAGTGTGCGGAAAAAAAAGATAATAAACAAAACACCTTGAATAATTCTTGATCTAATGATCGGTACGTACTAGAACTCAATTTTAATGGTTTGATAGAGCGACCTCAAATATTCGAATTAGTTATTGTATACTATTTTTGAAGTTACGAAATCAGACACAAAATCATAATTTTTCTAAATAGGCATACCTTTTTCTCGATATATTTGGATATTTAACGTTAGGAAGTAGCCGCAATCTGAGAAATATGGTCGTAATAGTTTGGTCAGAAGAGCACTCCAATGTTTGGACCAAATAATAGTAATTTTGCTTTTTGTGTATAGGACTTTTATTTTTTTACGTAAATGAATTTGTTGTTTAATTATTATTGTTACTATTATATAATTTAAAATTCAACTAATTAAAATGCATGTCGTAAATATTGTCGTGTAGAAGCAAATGAGATTAATGCAGTTAGTAAAACATATTTGTTAAAATTCTTCTTGCATACAGAGTAACGGAGAGTTGGTATTTCCTCTTGAAGCACATGAGCTTATATGCAATTGAATACGAAAAAATTTTTGTAATAGAATGTTCTAAACACTTATGTGAAAGACATTTAAATAAAAAATAAAACTTTAAATTAAAATTACGTACATATAAATTTATATTTTCTGACCTTCTTGGGATGGCAAAATCTGGGGTTTCCAACTCGTTTAGGTAGTCACTTTAGACTCTCGACGTAGATATTTGGTCAAGCCACACTTAGATATTTTGCCACGCCACATCCATTTAATTACTGATTTCAATAAACTTTTCGCAAAGAAACTTGTTTTTAACACATATCCGCTAGAAACTTGTGTAGTGATATAAATTTAAATTCATTTTTTCGCGTTATTAATGTGAAGAATTTTGATATACTTTCTTTTTAAATTATGTGTAATTCCTACTGTTCGTATCAATAGAATCGGCATATGTTTGCTGATTACTTTAACAAGATTATAAGCTATATGAATGCGATATATTCTATAGTGGTGAAGCATAATATATCGTACTATATACATTGCTTAAAAGCATAGAAATCCTATGCTTCTAAGCTTTCTACGCGAGTAGAGATATCTCACTCACGGGCAAGTTCCAGATCAAAAATTTACACATGATTGGTAAACTGCAATTTGATGTTATGATGAGGTAGTAAGAAAAGATGTAATTTTAAACTTTCTTAAATGTGAATAAATCTTTTAAAACTTATTGGTAGAGTCATTGTTGTTCTAAGGCTAATAAAGTTATGGCTAAGATTTAAAAAATACAAAAAAAAGGTTTTGCAGAGATACAAATATATGAAATTCATGAGTAAATTACCAAATGAATGTGTTGTTTTATACTTCGATTTTTAAAATGAGTATAAAAAAATGATGGCAGTAATAACGTATTACTAGCATCATTTTTTTTTAAAAAATGTAATAGTTTTTCTATATTTTTTCCAGATGAGTTCTTATGCTATTTTAAGTATTCGTAATATTGTGAAAATTATGTTTCAACTTTTCAAAATAATACTCCTTTTCAGTACATATTTAACCAGTAACTCATCGTTTAAACAATTTTCTGAGATTAACTCAAAATTTCTTTAACGGCTTAACATGACCCGATCTCAGGCACTTAAGTTATGTTTTGAGTTTCAAAAGTTAAAATCAAAAGTTAATATTTTGAGCTTAAGTTTATGATTTAATCTTCTAGTTAATACTTTGAACTTGAAATGTTAATACTTTAACCTATAAAAGTTAATACTTTGAGCTTTTAAAATTGATGCTCTTAGTGTCAAAAGGTAATACTTTTAGCTTTAAAATTTGATACATTGATATTTGAGAATTATACCTTCTCTTTAATTTTTCTTAACGAGGTCTCTTACGTGAAATTGAGTAGGTATTTTTTAAATTTCAGATTGAATGAATGTAAATTAAAAGAATATGAAAAAAAAAAATTTTAAAAAAATACTATTGACTGCAAAATAGAAACTCAAATACTGCATCTTTTAAGGTTACAATTGCAACTGACTCAACTGTGACTAATAATCTGCCGGAATCTTCAGAGACAAGTTCATCGTTTCATATAATTGACTCGAGATCAGTTGAAACTGCTAATGATGAACCCGAAAACATAACCTCTGTTGAGACTCCTTCCATGAAAGTGCCAAAACGAGTGCGTAAAAGATCATCGGTGTTAAATAATGAAAACAGTAATGGACTAATTGCCGCTGAAGAGGATACAGCCGCTGCAATTAGGACAGTTGCTGCAGCTATTGAAAAGCTTGCTGAAGCCGAGACTAGAAAAGCTGTAGCTTTTGAAAAATTGATTCAGCACTTCTGGGGCTGATGGTGTATTGATGCTAAATTACTAAGCATTTACTGTTAATATTTTTGTACATAAAATAAAAATTGTATTCGTTATTTATTAATTGTTCCCATTTGTGTAAAAGTCGCAAATGTTAGTAATTACTTTCAACACATTGTTTAACACTAATGCAACTTGTATAATTCAAACACAACTTAGTGTGTTTTGAAGATGATTGATTATTAAGAATATGAATTAAATATAAGAATATGAATTAAATATAAGAATATGAATTAAATGTAAGAATATGAATTAAATATAAGAATATGAATTAAGTATAAGAATGTGAATCAAATGTAAGAATATGAATTAAATAAAAGAATATGAATTAAATATAAAAATATGAATTAAATATAAGAATATGAATTAAATATAATTTTTCTTTTGTTCTTATTTTTCTGGTTTGTTTCTTATTTAATGCAAAAAAATTATAATGCACACCTTTTCTGTTTAAATTTGATCAATGACAGCAAACTAATACAAAATATATTAAAAAATCAATTACACTTATAAAAGCAGCTTAACTCTTTGCTAAACGAATTTAGTGAATATTTTTTGCATTTAAATATTTTCCTTAAGCCGGTTAAAGTAGCAGATTATAATTAGTTGAATCACTTAAAACATTTATTGCGTAACTGTGACTACTATTTTAAAATAAGATTATAAATAGAGATGTCTAAGCTGGCGTCACTATAGGGCCACATTGTGTACCCCCTAATACCCATAATTATTTCCTCTGGTAGAGTACACTAGTACCCGGTGATATAATACGTGGTCCAATATAAATATTATGGGCCAATATTAAGGTACGATATCGGGTCATGTGTTAAAACAGAATATTGACTTCGAATTTCCTCATTTTTAAGCTAATAAACACTCTATTATCTATATGCATTCAAATTAAACTTGATTGTCATATTGTGTACCCCTAATAACTGTCTACTAGAAATCCATCAATAGTCAATCAGTTACAGATGCAACCAATAAGAATATACTTCTATTGGAGTAGGAATACGAATGGACAATTAGGAACAGTGTAAATAAAATATGGTTGAATGATTATTGAACACTGATCTAGCTCTGACTCTGACTTGGACATCTCTATAAATAATTTAAATACATTAAAAATATATAATAAAAGTTTGTCAAGCTAATAATTTTCTTAAAAATAACAAATTTTGTAAAAATAAAATGTTTATATTTACGTGCCTATTATCTTGTAAATCGGGAGATTTTTTTTTATAATAACATGATTATACTAAGCTATAAAAATTGAATCATGGGATGATAATGCAAAATCTTTTAAGAGCTTTATGATTTAATTCCATACTTGAATACCCATTAACTGAAGGGCTACTGTGTTTAATAATCTTAGGATTTCTATTACTTTCACCTTTGAGTTTTTCTTTTGTAAAGATAGAGAGTAAATTATAAATAGTAACATACTAATATTGTCTTATCGCTAATTACTTTCGATGCGGTACTTTATTTAAAACCTTCTTGCTTACTTCTTAAAAATTCTATTACTAAACTTTTTGTCCATCCTCTTATTAAGACTATACAAATATTTTATTTGAGCATAATAAGTTACCGAAACATTTTTTGTACTTACGAAAGTTTTAACGACTCTCATTAAACTATTATTAAGAGGACAGAATTAACAAGACATTTAATGAGGCATATCAATGCGATTACTAAACTTTAAAAGGATTTTTTTAATAATTACTTCGATATGAGCTTATTAGTGCTTAGTCTTTATTATAAACGTGAACGGGTAGTTTTTATTTTTCTATGAAAGTTTTGTTTTTGATATTTTTACAAGAGCTGGTAACATTTAATTAAAGATGTTGCAATTTTTAAATTTAAACCTAGGTTTGTAGAAAAATGATGCACTTTAAATTCCAATTTTAAACAACCATTTCTATAGCATTTTAAAAAGTACTATAAATTTGAAAAGAAACACTCCATTTATATTCGAACATCACTTGTTCCTCTCTGCTACATATGCACCATTCCCCAGTCACGTTGATATTTTTCTTTAAAAAAATTTCTTCCATCTTAAGAAAGAAATGCGTGAACATTTTCGTGGTATTCTGTTTTACTTATTGACTCATTTGCATTAAAAATACCCCCGTTTTTTTTTCGATACGCATTGACTACTAGTGTAGTAGTCGAATACTAAAACAAGCTTTCTTCAAAGTATTGAATACTAATACTAAGTGTACAGCATAGCCATATATCATTGTACATTTTTTTTCAGAGTGGTGGTATTTTGTTTCGTGAAGTTTGTGCAAAATAAACTTCCTTCTAGATTTAAAACTTTGCATTAAAACTTTTATTTCTTCTTTAAATACTCTTAAATGGCAAGAATGATATTAAACACTAAAAAATAACATTAAATTTGAAGTTTCGCAAAGCTACAAATGTTTGAATAAGCATAACTCAATGCATGACATCGATTGCCGTTCTTATGAGCTACTGATAGAGAGTTATAAGTTTCTAAATTAAGGTGCACATGGTCCAAACGTGGTGCAGTGGATTATAACATGTGGCGCTCCATACAGTTCTTATAGGAAGAGCTGTTTCTCTATAGTTTTCATTAAGATCATTTTATTTCTTTTAAATCATTGCTTAAGAATAACTTTATCCATTGAAATCTCGTGTATATTCGTGCACTGAGACGAAAAGTAGGGTAAAAACTACAAGAATATGTTAAAATTTACCCTGATTCTGGCTCTAGTAGAACAATAAAAAACTTGATAATTTTTTCTAGCTCTTTGGTAATGTTTTAGGTAAAATTAGCAATAAATTATGGTTTTATAATACGTGATAAAATTTGGTAAATGGGACAATTTTATCTTGATACCTTAGCATGGCATAAAAAATATTTATTCGCTTAAATTTACTCTTCAGTTATGTAATTTTTATTAAGTGTGGGGTAATAAGAACTGTAATTTTAAAAGCAAAATTTCCGGTAGACCGTTACCATATGAACAGAATCCATTACCATATGAATGACTTAAATATCTTACGTTTTTGTTTAATTAATTCGGATTAATTAATTCCGAAAAAAAGCATAATTCGTGCTTTTCTTACCAGAAATGTCATTTCCATACAGTACAGTAATTTTACCAGATTTTTTTTTCTCCGTGTAGCATTTTTGTGGGACTTGGAAAGATTACTACCCACCAACATGATCTGATAAAATACTCCTCTGGGATGCATAAAATCCACTATAATTAATATTATAGCGAAGGGAGTACTAATTCTTGTTTCATTTTTATCGATTAAATAGAATTATCACATCATATTTTATTTAAAATTTTAACTTTAAAATATCGTCTGCACAAATTAATTAGCCTATTGAAGGTCACCCCCTGGAAACATTACGATTGAGTCTAGAAAGTGAAGATCTGATCATTAGATCAAACGTTATTTAGGGAGATACGTTTATTTTTTTGTGCTCAGTACATTCCATTGTAGCAGGTTTTTAATCGACTTTTGAAAATAATTTAATTTAAAACTATTTTTAGAATATAAATACTGTTTATAGGAAAGAGTTAAGTACAATGGGGACTTAATTTAATGGTGATTTATGTGTTGTTGGCAATTTCAATCGCTACTGTGAAAATCTTTTTGTATTATTGTCAACAATAGCATGAGAAAATATAAAAATATATTTGTTTCAGATTCGAGTAAAATTAAATTAATAATTTCCTTTATATTTCGTTTGCTGATGTAAATCATGGATAAAATAAAATAATTTTTTTCAATAAAATATTATCTTTTATTTTTAGTTTACAAACAAAATGCTGTATCTGTGTTCTATTTTTTTTAAAACTTCAATAAACGATAAGGTAATTTTAAAAAAAAATGTATTTCAAAACATGAAAATTCTATTTTTAATTTTAAAACTAAAAAAATGATCTTTAATTCAAAGCTTCCCACTTCAAAATAAAAGAAAAAAATAACGCTGCTTTAAACATAAAAAATGATCTTTCGCTTGTCTCTTAGGAATTTTTCGGAAGTTCAGTGAATGCAACACCGAGTTCTGGATCAGGAATTCAATTACGAAAATGGAAGTTCCACAGACTATTTTAATCATCATTCCTAAATTCATTTTAGTAATTTACTTTTATATTTTATCAGGTGATAAAAGATGGTTAAAGCAGAGATTCATCATATATATTGAATTTCTTTAATTTTATAAATGTTAAGTAAAATGTTAATAAAAGTGTTTTGTGTCTGCTTGTACTTCAAAAGAAATGACTTACGGGCTTCTTTTCTTTTATTAATTCCGTGCATGCATTTTTTATATCGAGAATTGATTTTTGGATTATTTGATAAGGAATTCACTGATTAAAATATTATTATTAAAATGATAATATTGAAATAAATTCATAGAAAGTAATAAATAAATAATACATCAGAACAATAATCTAAAATTGTAAAAATATAGGTAGATTTAAGCATTAGTATAAATAATACTTTTGCATAGAGATATTACCATAAGTCAAAATAAATAAATTTCCATTCCATTTTCTGCATAGTAAAATAAGTTATTTTATTCACTTGACTCAATTTTTTCTCTAAAATAAATTATTTGTGTAGTATATATTTAAAAGCTAAAGGTTATAAATATTTAAACACACATTTCCTGAATCCCTGACTAAAGTTTAATTAATTAAATTTAAAGGTTTAATTGTGCGAAGACAAATTGATTCTTCATTAATTCTTTTCAAAATTGCGTAGGATTTTTAAAATTATATTAAATATAGAATAAATTAACTTAAAAATAAAATTTTACTTGTATAGAATTGCAATTGTCTCATTCAATAAAAGTCGAATTTATTAATTATCAAGGTTGGGTTTTAAAACATAAGTTTTTAAAATAAGTTATATTTATTGAAGCATAAGTAAAACCTGTTACGAAAATTTTAATAAATATAGCTTGAACAATCTAATAGCTTCACAATCAGAAAGGCATGTACCTAAGATATTAAAAATTATTAAATTACTACAAAGCAATTTGAATTCCTCTTTTCAAAATCTATTATTTTGTAT